TAAAGTATAGACGTTGGGTGATTATTATGTGCCGAACTAGTTTCATCAATTGTAACAAATGTACCACTCTGGTGTGGGGTATTGACAATGGGGGAGACTGTGCATGTGTGGGGACAGGGGTATATGGGAAATCTCTACTTTCCCCTAAATTTTGCTGTGAACCTAAAACTTCTGTAAAAATATAAAATATTTTTCATAAGTACATAATAATGAGGAGTTAAAATTGTTGCTTTCTGTTTGTGGAAATCTATTTGCTATGAAAAACAAACTTGATGATGGGACTATGTAATGATTAAAAGCTCCAAAACCATTATTGCATGAGGAAAAGTTCCCTGGTAGTATCTTATAGAGGTATTCATCCTAGAAATGAATTTCAACAGTGCCTTCCCATCCCTGTAAACATGGCCTACAAGAACTGAATGGGCCAGTGAGTTTGAAAATCAGTCTTTCCCTAAGAAGTTATTAGTTCCCTCTGTATGGATTATTCTTCCCTAGCCTGCAGCAAGGTTGTGTTCTCATGCTACAGATCTCAGCTTAAAAGCCACTTCTGCAGAGAAACCCCTGAAAGGGCTGCCTCACCCTTTTTCCTTATGCATTGGCTTATTTTCTTCAGAGGATTTATCACAGTCCTAACTAACTTTGTAGTTGCTTCCTTATTTATGGTCTCCCAACTAGGCTGTCAGCTCCGTGGAGCCAAGGACCATGGCATCCCCAGCTCCAGACACAAAGTCTGGCTCATGTGGGAATAGTGGGGTCTCAAACATATTCATTTTCCTAATAATTAGTTACTATAAAATTACCTGTATCACCACAGAAAAGGAGAAGACTGTTGTCAAAAATGCATATTTTCCACAAAATAGATTGAATTAAATTCAACTTCATCATTTAGCTAGTTTATTCCTCTTTCACTAATTATACAATATGTTATTATTATACCTTGTACTTCCCTTATCACCGAAGTGGGTCAAATTGGCTATTTATTCCTTCTATCTCTCACAGTCTCTAAGCTCCATGCTGATAGGAATGTTGTTTTATTTGCTCACCATTATATCCCTAGAACTTAATTCAGCACTTAGCATGTTATATATATATTCAATAATTATTTCTTCAATGAAAAAGAAATGTCTTCAATCCAGACATCCAAGTTCTACTTTCATGACAAGCCATAATTCTTCAGAATCTCATTATTCTTTAATGCAAAAATAAGATTATGGGTGATGTTATAAATATAGCTTTCTGAAAAAAATGCAAAGTAATAAAGTAAGAAGGATGGATGCGAACAATTACTGAATAGTACCATAAGCCATATGTAATGCTAGTGGCTTCCTAATTCACTTTCTTAAATTTAAGTGCCTCAACCCTGTGAGTTAGGGAAAGCTGACATTCTCATATTTGCAAATGAGAATGGAGGCAAAATTTGAACCCAGGTTTCTTGACTTCAGAGCCAAAGGTCTCTTTACACCTTCATGCTTCCTTCCCTCTGCACTCAATCCTCCCCTCACAGACACGCAGCCAACTAGGCTCCATTCCAGTGA